GTTTTATCGCACTATGTGCTGAAAGACAATATCTGAGATGTTTCGCACATTTTTTTAATATTTTGTAAAGTAATGCGAAATCGAAGTCGGTCAATGCCGACTAATGAAAAAACGACTAAAATGCCTTGCAAACGCATTTTTATTTTAACACATATAGTAATAATAATGTGTGAAAGAGAATAAGGTAATAAATTGTTTGACTTTAACGACACATATTTTTTTATCACACATGATTTTTTCTAAAATTTTCTAAGATGATAGCATACTTGTCGATTTTGCATTGTCATCGATGCAGATATATTATCCATAAATTAATAATTTTATTGCAATATATTTTGTTGTAATAAATTTATTTTATCCTACCTTCGCCTTCAGGTCTTGTTTCGATCCATCATATTCTTAGTATATGTTGTTTTTCTATAACAAAAAATATTATATAAGAAATACGAAAATATATTTTTATATTTTCTTGATCCTTCAGTCGCATTAAAAATACGAATTTTATATATTTAGGTTATTTTTGACTGAGAAATCTTAAATGCATAATTGAAGACCATAGCAGGGTTAATCATAAAATTTTTTTATCATTGTCTTGATTATCCTGACAGACGGAATTAGTCATTTTCCTTGCATCATCGATTGTAATTTCCAAAGGGTGACTCTATCAGACAGGACAATGTCACGATAACGGGATGTCTTCGATGACTCGTTTATCTTTCTTTTTTTTTCTTTTTTTTCTTTAAGATATATCTGTATGCACACGTATCGGTCGCGATCGTCGTGAACATCATCTATTCGCGGATGATGCTTATCGAAGGACTAACGTCTAAAGTCTAAAAGGCACTGCTTCTTGCAAGTTCGACCTGATTGCGATGCCAGGTGCTATTGTTCACGCCCGATGACGAAGTTTGCACATGCATTCGATATCTTCCGTATCTTCGCGCGGGTATCTACGATAATCTGCGTCGGGAATTGTTCGGCAGGTTGTGTCAACGCATCTAATCTAAAATTGTTTTCCGATACCCTTAAAATTAAGAAGAGAGATACTTGTCGAATATCCTTTGATCGCAGGCATCAAATTTAAATTTGGCATGCACGCCTTAATCATCTGATAAATGATAAACTTTTATCTCGCGGAACTAAAAACGTAACATACCGTCTCTAACGTAGAATTTATTCATGATTTTTATATACACGTGTGTTTAAGATGTATTATTTAATTTTATTGGTTAATTAATTTCTCAATTTCAATGGCTAAGTCTGGATCATTAGATCATCGATATTTCTTTGGCATAACAAAGAAAAAAAGAAAGAATAGTTTCTTTTTTGTTTTATCGAGTTTTGATTCCAATAAGAAAAATTCAAAATGTCAAAGTACAAGATTTCAGATATGTTAGACGATTCGTTTAATTCCGGTTATGACAGGTTTACAATAAAGCATAATGCGATTCACCGATAAATAAATAACGGTTCCATTCGTCATGTCGTCGGATGCGTTCATAGGTCGAATTAATTAGCTTCACGATTTAATTTTATCTTTATTCAAATCTATCATTTGTTAACTTGTCGACGTGTACATAACATTTACAAGTATTTGCTTATCCTCTTCAAGGAAATTTCTCTCTCTTTCTCTCTCTCTTTCTTCCTCTTCCAAGAGATTTTAACATTTTTTTGTACGTTATGTCGCGCACACATCATTCGTGAAGTTTCATTGTCTCTATTACATGTGCTTACACGTGTTCAGGTTTTATTCAGCTTAATATTAACGCAATTAATGGATCATTAATGATATTTACGTTCAATCAAATACTGATTACATGAAAAATATTCTGAATCTTCTTATTTTTATTTCATTATTATTATTCTTTTTTTTTTGTTATAGCACTTTGAGATTTACAGATTCGAATTCAATACTTCTGATATCGAAATTGTGAAAATCAAAAATTCCAAGTTTCGAAACGAATATCGCAAATGATTACATCGCATGCAGGATGTTTGTTATCTGGAAAAACTTGACAAATCTGGAATTTTTAGAAAATTTGTTATATCTTGAAAAATCAAAGAATTTTGATGCTCTGAACGTCAGAACACTGATTTTACAACTAATCTATTATTCAGTATCTATTGATAATGATTTCATATTACGCAACTTTGTTTAATGAAGATGGATGTTTATTTTAATAGTTTTATGAAAATTGAATTTTATACCAGTTATGTATAAAAATACAATATTTATTTTTTAGAATCCTTATAGTTTCTTTTAAAATTTGTCAAATTTGATTATTGAAACTTGAGTGAATGAATTAATTTATGTTATGATTCATAAACTTTTATGAATGAAAAATATTAAAGACTTTGCATAAGATATATTTTTAAAAAATCTTTCATTTTACCCGGAATTTTAACAAATTGCCTTGAAAATCAAAGAATTATCAGATAATTTTTTTATATCATTACATAGTATAATATATATCAAGATTACAGATATTCATATATCATATTCAATATTACAGATATTCATATATTCATATTACATCTCAACATTCTATAATCCACGCTAGTCTCATGAAGAAGCTCATATCATTAAATATCACTATCATTTATTTATTTTTAAGCTTAAGATTATTTATTCGAACGAGTTTCTATTTTAATTAAATTAATCTGTTCCGCGATCTCGATTTATCTCCGCCTTGGAGGGAGAAATTCTGGATGCCTTCGGGATGTCATCGTTTCTCCTTGATCTCTCCGCGCCATGAATGCGTAATAATCGTGCGGCGTAGAACCGCTCGCAGTTTCCGACACGTGATGTCAGCTCTCGTCCGTATCTCTACGGCCGGGCACGAGAGATACGGTGAACAAAGCGATGCTGTTTCCTATCGGCTTAAGCCGCGTATCGGATGGATACTGCTGACGTTACGACCCCGCCGCTCCCGACTCCCGGGGACGACTCCCCAGCATTTTGCGCACATCGTCATCATCATCATCATCATCATCTGATAACCTCCCGCGACTATTTATTTCTCGCGACCTCGACGGCTGTTTCCTGACGGCCGCATGTGTGACGCCGTCGCTTTCGCGGGAGAATTAAGAAATCCGAAATAATCCGATCCGCGTATCAATCTCGGGATAGCGCGACTCCTCTTCTTTTTTGGCTCAAGATCAAGCGCGCGGCTGGCCAGAAACGTAAACATTACGCGAACCTTAGCACAGATGCACGTGCTTATCTCCGCGAGATTCGCGGCGTACACGCAACGGCCGCGGAATAGGCGGACGGAGCTTGAAAATCATTCACGGATGCTCATTCGCAAATTATTTAAATGTGAGCGGTTAAAAATTCTCGAATAAATTAATCCGCTTGTATATCCTCGTTTTGCGCGGACATGCAGAGAAATTTAATTTATTTTAAACGAAAATCGCGAACCTGAGAAAAATCACCTTTCCTCGTGTATCTCATTGTTTTTTTTTCTTTAAATTAAACTGGGAAAGATGATTGTTCCTTTTTCGCAGATTTATGTTTCGTCGCGCGAAGGAAATATTCGAGCGCATATTCATTTAATATTAAATAGATCGTTAAATAGATTTTAGTTTGATATGTCTCCACCTTACACGAATAAGCCTTCTATCAAATGAGTCTTCTAAAATAATTAGATCGCGTGACACCCCCTTTAGGCGCCACTGTGGTCTGTTTCATACGTCATTGCACGATTTTTGTAACAGATAATTCTCGAGATAGAGAATCACAAAGATCACCAAATGTTATTTCAACAAGAAATGTCGCGTGGTCGATCGGAAGATAGCACACGCGCAAATCTTTTTCGCTTCTCCTATCGCTCATTCTTTCCTTCGTAATTGACGTAAGATCGTCCCCAAGTTTGCTTGGAGCAAATTGTAAAGAGACAAAAAGAGAGAACGTCGTAATGTTGCGTAAATTTAATAGACGCACGTATCTGTGTTTATTAATTAATTATCAATTTATCATAGCATAATATCGTGACGTTACGCGGTAGCTTAGAAAAACAACGTATATTTTGCGCGTTTTCAAGTGTTTTGTAACATTGTCTTGTTTTGCGTATCACTGACGTATTGCACTATTAACGTTTTGAAATTTCGCTTTCAAAAAAAGCCACGTCTTGCGTCATTTTCCTTCATTAATTCTGAGAATGAAAATTCTTCTATGATTAGCGCACGATTAGAAATATACGTACATAATAGCGATATCTTACTAAAAATCCGCTGTTATTTAAAAAGATTAACAAATGAACAGAAAGCAAATATTTCATTAGCGATAGGAACGTTGTTGATCGAATATGAATCATTAATTGTAGCATCTTCATAATAGAAACCAAACAAAAGACGTAACAACAATGAAACTGAAACATAAGAAAAATATTTTTTTTTTTAATTACGCTTATTCATTAGATGAAATCTTAAATACAGAGGTTTAATGGCCTTAGTAGTAAATGTGAATCTGCGCAAATGAAAGAAATTCGCAATGAAAGCCTATGAAACTACACATATGTCGCAAATTCTAGAGTTTTTTGAACACGATTCTTTCACAATCTTATTTTTGATGCTTTATCGATTGGCAATGCCATCGATATCTTGTAAATATCTTATCAAATTTGATTAACTCTGCATTGATTCACCATTGTTCTCCTTTTCCATTTTTCAAGAGGGGATTATAATCATATTTTGAGAAGGATTACTATATCAAGTATATACAGTTTTGCTCTCTGTGTGTGTGTGTGTGTGTGTGTGTGTGTGTGTGTGTGTGTGTGTGTGTGTGTGTGTGTGTGTGTGTCTAAAAAATTTGATTAGATACAAATCTGAAAATAATTTTGTTACACTTTCAAATATTTCTAAAAGCATCGTTTGGCAACTCGCTTCTTTTTGATTATAGCGCGAATGCTCGGATGGATTTATTCGCCATCAATCGCGAATTCCATCGCGAATAACAGTCTTCCTGCTCTCATTCATGATTGTTCCTTCTCTCTTTTCAGGCGAAATAACGAGCAATGTATTACGCGTGGCACGTGAAGCGCGGCAACGGACACTTGGGCCGTTCAGTCCGTCCTTCAATATACAAGAGATTTTGCTGGAAAGTTTACGAAAGGTGAGTGGAGCCAGAAATGAAAGCACACGGCTACGTTGCGAAAATTGTATCTGTTTATGTTTCATTTCCTCTTATAATATTCCTGCATAATATTGTAATATTTCCTGCATTATCCAGCATCGCGTACAAAGCGGAGCTCCGAGCTGTGATCTAATACTGTAAAATAAACTTTTTTAGATTCAAAGTGGATTTTACCTCACAGTAATAGTAGCCATACATCCCACGTTTTTTAACTTTAAGAGATACACATCTGTCTACTTATAGTCTACTTATTTGTCTATTTATTGTGATATATAAAGAGATTTGACATTTAAACAAGTGTAGCGTGTAATAAATATGACTTTGAAGAAGAAATTCTCAAGTTAATAATCGTAGACGAATAAAAATGATTTTAATTAATTCAAAGTAATATTGCATGAATTTTTTACTCATTTAAAGTTTTCGAGTAATAAAAGTAAAAGTAATAAAGTTTTCGAGTAATAAAAATACATATTGTACGAGTAATAAAAATTGAGTAATAAAAATACATATAAGTACGCTATGCTTGCAGCCGTTTATTTTAGTCTTTGTTGTCGTTTTTGTTCCAGTTTCTTCCGGACGACGCACATATCCGCGTAAACGGTAAATTACACATTTCTTTGACCAGAGTATACGATGGCAAAAATGTGATTATCTCTCAGTATAACTCCAGAGAAGACTTGTTGCAGGTAAGAAAATAAATCGACGCAATTGATTTGTTCGCGATAGTTTCTCATTATAATTTAAAATGAAGCATTATTCAGGATGTTTGAGAAAATAATTTTTTTAGGGAATTTTTGTACTTGTCAAGATTTTTTGAAGTCTACTTTTTCTTATGGAATTCACTACAATTCTTTTTCTCTCAAGGAATCATTCATCCCTTTTATGGTTTTTGCTATTTTAAGGTAATGTTTTCTTTAATTTTTTCCATAGGCTTTATTAGCCACTTCGTTTATACCGCTGTTTTCCGGTTTGCTGCCACCGCGGTTCCACGGCATCAGATACATGGACGGTTGTTTCAGCGATAATCTTCCTACACTCGACGAAAATACTATTACCGTTAGTCCGTTTTGCGGAGAGAGCGATATTTGCCCGAGGGACATCTCGTCTCAACTTTTTCATGTACGTATTCATGCGAATGAATAAACCGTTCTCTCGTTAAAGAAGCTAAGGCAACTTTGACGATACTCATAATTAAATTAATCAATGTACGCTTGCCCGATTAGCTCGGCGATTTTATTAATTATCATTTGTTTATATTTTTGCTTTTCTGCTCTGTAGGTTAATCTTGCCAACACAAGCATAGAGCTCTCGAAACAAAACATATATAGGCTCACGAAGATACTATTTCCACCTAAAATAGAGGTAAAATGAATAAATTAATTATACTTTTTAATATCAAGTTAAATGATATAATAGATATAATTTTTGTTTTTGATTTTAAATTACAGACTCTCTCAAATATGTGCAAGCAAGGATTTGACGATGCACTACGGTTTTTACATCGTAATAATTTATTGAACTGCACAAGGTGTCTCGCTGTTCAGTCGACATATGTAGTCCAGGAAACAATTGACGATAGTATGGAATACGATCCGGAATGTGTGGAATGTAAAATGCATAGACAGGTGAGAGATTCATAATTCTTTCATCATACGATAAAAGCAATAATATTTTTAATTTACTCTTATCTTTTATTAAATTTAATTTAAATTTAGTTTTAATTATTTACTTACTGTTGAAGTTTAAATTTTTATTTTATATTTTTAATATTTCGTTCGTAGGAAGCATTAGTAGCTAATATGCCTGAGACTATGATGACAATATTCCAAGATGCTATAGATTCTACTAACAAGGGTCTTGTTAACTGGCTGTTTAAGCATCGTAGTATGAAATTGTTATCGCTGTTGAGCTTACCTTGCACGCTACCGGCAGATGTAATGTACGCCACAATCTCAAAGTAAGTAGCTATTGAATATGCACATACAGATATGCACCATGTATACGCTTTGCAAAACTATTGAATTTATAAAGGCACATGCATATTTAAATTAATATTTGATGCTTTTCATTATTTTTACTAATTGGAGGTATTGCATGCCGCAAATTTATATATATTTTTTTATTTTGTTCATTAATATATTTTTTTTATTATTAAATATAACAAATCGATTTTTAAGGAAGATTCCTGTTTAATAGAAAGAGATTCCAACTCAAATTTTGTTTAAAATAATTTTTAAACGTAAAAATTTTTAATTTCATATATATTTGTATTAATATTTATAAATATATATAATTAATATTTTTGTGTTTAGATTTAATACTTTCAAAAATTACAAACTATATTTTATTTTGAAAAATGCTTTTTGACGATATGATCGGAGAACTTTTTCATCTAAAATAAATAAATTAATAAAATTTTTATTCTATGTAAGAACATTGTTATTGTCCATATTTATTATATGTTATTTGATATATACTTTAGAAATATATATTTTCGAGTCTTTAAAGTATAAGAAATACAAGTAATCCTCTAGATAGGAATCTCATCTTAAATTTGTTATACTATTTTTTATTGCATTGAATGGGCAACAATATCAATATTAATGCATGTCACAGATTCAGTCAATTGGTGCAATTTCACGCTAATTATCGCTTGTGATATTGTGTTTAACGTCATGCATGTAATTGGTAGTCTGATTGGTAACAAGATAGAAACTCGTACCTTGGAATACAAAGTAGTCGGAAATGTTCTGCGGATTCCGCAACAGGCGCTTACTTGCAATAAGCATTTAGCACAGCCCCGGTAAGCATACAATTATCAGATGTAATATCTTCTCTGTTTCGTGATATCACTGATATGTAGCTACGAAATTATCAAAGCATACTGCCTAAATTTTATTTTTAATTGTAAATATTCTTTGACGAACTGATAATTTAAAATCCTTATAGATCCTTATTATGAAAGTGTTATAATAGTATGCGAGTGTTTAAATAAATAATAAATTTACACTTATAGAAGAGTGAAAGATGAAAAATAGAAATAGAAAACACAGAAATATTTCTAATATAAAATTTGGACGGAGTATGAGAGAAGATATTTCGATAAATTAACATTTGTTCATCAAGATGTCTATTTGTCATAAATATTTGTAATATTTTATAATTTACTTTGTAATTAATGAAAAATATTTTTTTTTTTATTTCAGACTCATTATGAACACCCCGAAACTACGAAATAACTTAATGGAATTAACTAGATATGTCTTAGAACAATTGAGTATAATGTTCCCGAAGATTAATGTCTATACCGAGCCATTGCCTCAAACGATCAAGTATTATTTTAACATCTTAGAATATGATTCGAGTGAGTATCAATGATTTTTAGTAATCTGAATCTTTCAGTTATAATCAAACAATTTTTAATTGGCTATAAATAATATTTGGCACAAAAAAATGTCCACGTTAATGAATTAAATTACTTAGATTCTTATATTTTAAAACATTTGCAGATATATACGATGTCCAGGCTATAGATGAGACAGACGCTGTATATAAAAAGCAAAAGAATCTAAATTTGACAGTCCAATACAACGAACGGTAAGTAACTGAGTAATGCTAATCCTCGTATAGAATTATATTTATCAAAATTTTTGAATTGATGTTATTTGTTATTTTTAATATATGTTTTAGTGGACAACCATGGGGAGATTCTAAGAAATCGAGTTGTGTAATAAATATGGGCGACTTTACATCGGTGGATGATACTTTCGAAAATATTCTTCAGGTAAGTAATAAGAATAATGGAATAATTAAAAAGTTGGAAAAAATTTTACAGTAGAGAATTATTAAATTTTATATTTCTTACTAGGCAACTTCGGATCAAGAGGCTGTAATAGCATATTATTATATGGATGATAACAACAAAGTGCAAGTAACTGAGATTTTTGATGTAACAGAATCGGAATCACATACCATGCTTTCGGTAGATGAAGTCGATACTAACAAAAAACTTCAATTTGATGATTGGGATGAATCTACATGGTTATCTCAACATACACTCAACGATGGTAAGTAATTGAGATTTTCTTTCTATAAGATCGACAAAAATATATTATCAGTATCTTAATTTTTGAATTATTCAGTGATTTTAATTGCATTTATAATGATTCTTTAGTTGAAGTTTTATAAAATATTTGCAGCAGTTACGGAGTCTCTTTATACTGATGGAAATCAACAAAGCATGGAGAACTTATCGGATGTGTCAATAGACGAGATACTGAATAGTGCAAATATATTCTCTGATCCAGAAAGCGAATGGGAAGTAGAAAAGGACCAAGAACAAGTGGAGATGCCTAAATCTCCAGACAGTCGACCGGAAGTAGATCAACCATCTACAAGCTTGCTATAGAAATAACTATAGTAAGCCTGTTACTATTATAATATGTAATATAATTATATAAAATGCAGAATCTTAAATAATATATTGCAAAAACGTATGCAATATATTATTTAATTAGCCCTATTTAATTAGCCATAAATAATATAAGATTGAGATATATTAAATTAATTTCTATGATACATGAATATATAAAGAAAGCAACATAAATTGATTAGAAAGGAAAAAAATTTTTTTATTTGAAAGTTTATATGCTACAATACAATACAATACGTTTCTACTGTATTATTGTTTTAACTATAAAATGAAAGTTTTAAAGTAACACAATACGTGTAGCATTTAAAATATTAAATGATCTACTTTATCAAATATGATTTTGCAAGATATAATTAAAATAAAGCACAATTATTGAACACGTGCCAATAATGCTATCTGCATTTAAGTGTCTGTAATATGACGTACAACAGTATTCTCTCAGTAATTCAAGTTTACTAACTTGGATTTGAAAATTTAACGAGTGTTTGCATGAGTTGACACATTTCATACAAAGAGACTGATGTATCGGTGATCAAAGAGGATGATATCCCAAAATCATAATCAAAATAATTTTTAAATAGAAACTCTAAAAACCGATTTTTCCTTGAAAATAAAAATATTGAGACAATTATATTTTTTTATATTCATTGACTGATAATAGAGGATTAGACGAATTAAATTTCAGGAGAAAAAAATAGATAATATCATATCTGTCATAAATATTCAGATATATAATGATGAATAGATATATAATGTTGAAGATTAAAATATTAATTGTTTTATTATAGATGATGAATATAAAGAAAAAAATTATTTACTAAATTATTTATGATTATTAATATATAATAAACAAGTAAATAATATAGAGGTAATATAATAGTAGAAAAGATATCTGATAATACACTTTGTTTGTATATAAAAGATTACAGCTAATTTTTAGAGTATATAGACATATAACAAAAATCTTTGAGAAACTTGAGTTTGGAAATTGTGTGTTTCCGAACTACAAGATATTTTCTCTAAGTTAACGTTGACTTCTTGATGTTTATAATATATATTTGATGTGTTCATCATTTATTTTAATATTCGTTTGGACACGTTTTTTTAGAGAATATACATGTTCAAACATCATAATTCTTAGATTTATAGTTGCTAATTATTTTTGTTTTGACAATTACTATGAGCGCCTAAATTTTAACAGTAATTTTTTATATCTTGTATAATTTGATACATAATTTTTCTTTTGTTATTCTTTGTAAAATCATTCATATCTATTATATCATTCTGTTTTTTGGAGTCCTAGTATTCATTATAATATGATATATTAATAATGATAACATTAATTCAAAATTTCTATAAATATAAATATAAAAATAAATTATCTTTACTATAATTATTTAGTGCTCGTTATATACACTGGATAGATTTAGATTTTTTTACATGTACTTTTTTTCATATATTCTGAACTTAGATCATATATATCTGCAAAACATTTTTAACAAATTTTGATAAATCTCTATGCGATAGCAATTACCTCTATTATGATTTTGCTATAGTCCAAGAAGAAGTTAAAATATGTTGAATCTGGAAGTTGTGAAAATGGAATATAGTTTAAAAATATCTTAATATAACATTTAAGATTATTTTAGAATAAGTACTGTATTTTTGTCATCATGATTTTCCTAATAGCATTAATTATTGGATAATTAAATTATAAGACAGTTTTTAATAACTTTAAGTTAATAAAATCTTGAAGATAGATTATTTATATAATAGATTATGGAAAAATATATTTTGTGATTATATATGACTGGGTTTAAATATTGAAGAATGTATAGATTTTTTTTATATTGCAAAGTATAATTTATAATAATTATTGATTTATCATGACCAGTTTAACTTTTAATCTTTATATTAATAGTCTTTTATATATACATGTTTTTATAGTTATATTTGAATGCATTTGTGATCAATTATTTTAAGATTTTGTATATTCTATTTTATATAAAAAAGGAAGTTGAAATTATATAAGTAAAAAGGTTGTGTCTATCTAATGGAGATAATTAGAGATAATTTAATTTAAAAAATGAAAATGCAAAAATAATATAGATGACAGTTGTAGCAAAAAAATATTCTTGTATGTAAAAATATTCCAAATAAAAGTACAAATAATTGTTTTATTCATTGTTAAGCTTGAATAGTACAATTTTTTAAAATAATATTGATATTATATGCTTCTGATGAGTTAAATTGTTGATTTAATTATAAGTAGTCTTCTTTGTCAATTTATGAACGATCCAGTTAAAGAAATATTGTAAAAGAAATATTTGTTTTTTTAATAATCTTCCTTTTTTTATAATTTTGATGTAATATAGTGATGATATTGTGAATGGGCATGGTATTATGTTTATTGATGTGTTATATGTTATAATAAATATAAATACAATAAAATAAATGTTAACAAATAAATTAAATCGGCTATCAAATTACGTGTTTTTTGTGTTTATTACTGAATATAAAACAATAGAAATAAACTTAGAAAATATTGGGATATTTATAAAATTTTGTATATATACTTTGTATACATTGACATAAATTTAGAATGGCTTGTGAAAAAAGTGTTTATTTTACAGAAAGAGTTTTGATATTTAATAAGTATTAATAAAATATCTATTTTTTGTATTTTGTAAATGTTAGCTTTTTTTTTACTTGCAGTTTCAAATATTTATACATAAATAATCAAAACATTGTATGGTAGCATTATGTTATAAAAATAGATATATAAATGTTTAAAACCCCAAAAACAGATATTTTATATTTTATATATAATACGTATTTTTTTATGATTATAAATAAAAACTGTACATACATATATATTAAAATGTACAAATAAATATTAACCACAGGTGGATTACATATATAAGACAATCTTTAGAAAATGTAGGAAAATAATGGAATAAATTTTAATATATTAAATAAAATTTATCTGTTGTATAATTAAATAAAATACACATCAATATCATTCTTTGTGCAGTATTTGTAAAATGAATTAAGAATACGATGATTGATTGCAAGAATCTGATTACACTATGAAAAAGGGTAAAGATTAATAAAAACTGGAATATTTATTATGTTTTTAATATAAAACAAATCGTATTGTGTATATGTGTACATATGTATGTATGTATATATATGTGTACATATATATATATACATATTATACATACATACATATATAACATGTATATATACAATAATTGAAACCTTCCCTAAAGTAATATTTTAAGGCGGACATATTTGAGAGAAATACATTTATTATTGCACTGGGCATAATAGTATTACGCAATACTGATTTGGTAAAATATCTTGTATATTTTCAGTCGACACAGACACGATCCGTTTAGTAAACTAAATCACTATAATTAAGAGAATTCAAAAAAGAAAAACAATTCATCATATAACTTCTATGTACAAAAGATTAAAATTTCAGACTCATAATATATAAATGCCTCATTACATTTCTTCCAGGTGGGCTTCAATTATTCCGATGTAACATGATCATTAACATTATCATTTATTTGAACATATTCAGGCGGAATCTTCCCCCGGGGCAGATGTAGAATTTCTCTGAGCTTCAATTTGTGTTCTATTTTGAGAACTGCCCGCCGCGACGGCAACTTTATGCTGCGCAGCTAAACACTGTTGTAATTGTTGAAGCTACAAAGTTAAAATAAATATTCCTTTATTTTTATATAGTGATAGCTATTTCTTTTGATTTAATATTATTTAACATTAAAATTTATTATCATTTAAGATCTATTTAATTAATCTATTTAATATGATATAATAATACTATTTAATTAATCTCTTTAATTTATATGATAATACATACTTGTTGTTGAGATAAAGTAGCCACACCGAGACTTTGCGTCTGCTGGCTGCATTGGCCAGTAGAAGCTCTAGCGTGTAAAGATTTTGTTAACAGAGTTTGTTTATTAACAGGTACTACTTGGGAAGAAGGTGTCGTCTGCGACGCCATAAGCACAGGTTTTGTTGCGGCTGTAAAGTAGAAAATTTATATAAATATCATCGGTAAATCCAAAGTACACAAAAAAATGTTACATTATAGTTTATTTCAGTGAATTTCGATTTAACATTATTCACTTACCCATTATAGGAGTTAATACTTGTTTATTACCAGATAATATCAGCTGACTCGCCGTTACTGTTTTAGCAACTGTCACTAATTGATTTGATAAGACAGCTGATTTAACTTGATTCGATTGTACTTGACGAGTCATATGATTAAATCTTGGTCTTTGAGATCCAATGAGTTGAATTGCTTGTCCTCCCTAAAATTATATGATATGTGAATTGTTATAGCATGTTCATGAATGCATCTTTTGCAGAAAAAATGCAGTTGCTAGAACATTTATTATATATTAAATATTTTAAAAATTCAAATAGAAATTCATTCTTTATAAATTTATTCTATATATTTTCATATTAAAAAATATTAAACTATTATACGTGAATATATAATATATAATAAAAAAGTTGCATTCTAAAGTTGTATTAAATTAATACCTGTGCAAGAGCCACCGCATTATTACCCCTAATATTTTGCTGTGACAATCCTTTTACTCCTGATGGTATTAGCTGAGCTGAAAAAATAAATAGCCAGTTAAATATTTAGAGATATATACATGTATAACAATAAAAAAAATATACATTATATGAATCTTAAAAATGTATCTCATGTAGATAAAACTATAAAAATTGTAAAAATTGTAAAACATCAAGTCTTTTTATTGTAATTTTCTATAGAAAAATAGTCAGTTTAAGGAAGAGACCTTCATAAAACACAATCTATATCTCTATATTTTGAAAAATTAAAATATTTAGCATAAAATTATATTTAGATATAAATTCAATAATATTTATTTTAAATTACCGATTGGTAAGGATAAATGAGCATTGGTAGGAGCATTAGCGATCACTACTGTTGGTGTACTCCCAGCAATAGCTGTCGTAACAACAGTTGCAGCAACCATCTGAAATAACATAACGTTCATATAATATTTATAAATTACTCAAGCTTATTTTTCTTATCTATGTTTTACACATTAATATTAACTCTTTCAATATAATGGACATTTTTTCATATAAAATAATATGCATACATATATGTACACATATAAAAAGAATATTTTGTTCATTACTATAAAATTCATAGAGACTATTCTATTTTAAACTATTCAACAAAGTTACTTATATAAATCAATTAGGCACTAACACTTGAGACTGTCGTGCAGGTATTCGTGGCAGAAGATATAGGCAGAGAGACAATAACTCCGGTAGGAGTGACGGTACCACCGGTGGTTGGAGATACATTCAACGACATAGTAAGAGGCGAAAAACCTGGAAACGAAACCTGGAATGCATACGTTAGTATATTTATATATGTTAGTATATTTCAATTTGTATCGTTTATATAGAAATAAGTAATTATTCTAAACCTGAACATTTTGTAGACCGTTGATGGAGTTTGGCAGACTAGTAAGGTTTACGCCTTGTAAATTTACATTGGTCGGCGATGGACTGGTCATCGGACTTGCTGGTTGGCTGCTCTGACTGGAAGAAGCGGTGAGCCGTTCCAACAGCGACGAAGTTGAATTCATTCCGGGTATCGGGTTATCAGCTGACGGAGTGCCTGTTTGTATACAATTATATTACAAATAAAAATTAAAAAATGACACAAAAAAATAAATAAATAAGCTTAAATTATATTCCATATAAATATTCCAAAAGATTAGATTATTATAAAAGTTTGCCAAATGAGTTATAGAGGTACCAAAATTTTAAAATAATATATATAATTAACATAATCAAAAAGATTTTGTAACAAATTAACTTGTAAGATTGTTTGCTGTACCAGCAAGCAAAGCCGAAAGTCCCGGCATCGATAAGCCAAGAGTAGATGTTGGATCCTGGACTCGCGCGAGTCTAACAGCGGTCGCTTTCACTGGTTGTTGCTTGCAACTTAATTGTCCTGTTAAAGCGGAAGAGCTCAAACTCACACGTACCTGAAACGAAAACCAAACATAAGACATATTTAAATTTAAATTCTATCAGTATAATTGTCAAATAATTAACTATTAATTATATCACAAGAAATATATTCAATATACATATAAAAGAATAATAAATGTATTATGTTTATGTTAAAAAAAACAATAGATATAGATATATGATTTAATTAAAGTATATTAAATATATATAAAAATAAATATATAAAAATGTAATAAAGAAACGCATATAGCAGGACGAGTTATTAATTAGATTATTTTTGTACATACTTGACCCGTAGTATTGGGCACGTTGATCACATTGCCATGACTAATAACTCTGGATGGGATGGAAGCATTAAGAGAGATCCTTTGGGGTTGAACTTTCCTCTGAGCTATATTTGCAGGAGTACTATTTAACAGACTAAGGATGGCGGTATTGTTAGATTTGTTTGTAGCTTGTGCATTGTTATTCATAGCTGCGGCTGCTGCATTGGCTACAAAATACATAAAGTACAATAATTACGAATTTATAAACATATACTGATAAAAGAATTATATGATTAAAAGATGCAAATACATATATTTGCTCATTTAATTTCATAAAATGTACAGTGCAAAATTCGTTCAATTTGCAAAAATAGAAGTATTTTTTCTATAAATAAATATGAGCATAATTATGTTTATTTATTTTATGATTTATTACATAGTCATATAAAATATATATAAAAAAAAAAAACGAACCTGCGGCTTGTTGCTGGAATTGCTGTGCGGAATTCATGAGGGAAGTAACAAGAGCGCTTATCGCCGGATTAGTTGAATGTTTCTTGAAAGGCGGTTCATTTTGGTTCTGATTGGCGGCCTCGCCTATACAATTCTGTGTTCCCGCTTGCAATTGCGCTTGCTGTGAATTTTAAATAAAAAAAATTTTTTAAATTAAATCTTATATACAATATATATTCGATCGCGATGTCGTGCACCATCAAATTCAGTGTTCATTGTGAAATCTGAAGAAATCAACGGAGACTCACCAAGACTGGAACATTGGTAGGTGCTGTATTATTAATGGTACCAGTCGATTTCTGAAAGACTAGAATACCAGAACCGTTACAAGTATTGTCCGCTACAGCCATCGCAGAATTATCAATTTGCACGGAAGTTGACGCATTAGGACCACCATTAGCCAAAGATTGTCCAGAGCTCAATGCGGTAACATCGTTCTGCGAAATAACTTGCGACATATTTGCCGAGTCCACACACGAGAGATTATTTTGTGCGGAGGTAGTGGCTTCTGTCATAACCTTCATTGAGGCCACTTGGCTAGTCAAACTAGTTAATTGTCCTTGAGCCCGCGATAGAATCTGAAATAAAGAGTGAATTTACTGATATTTTGTTTTTAACTCGTTCATGTGCAAAAGAAGAAAAATGGAGCTCACAAACCTGTTGTGCTACGTGTTGGGACTGAGCTTGCTGCAATTGTTGAGCCGCTAAATGTGCCGCTTTTGCATGTTGCGCCTAAGAAAAAAATAAAAATTAAACAAATTAAAATAAAGAGTAAAAACAATTTAATAAATAGAATAGAATAAAACAATTTAATAAATATTAAATGGAGAAAATAGATGGCACATACCTGTTGATGCACTCGCTGCATACCAGGTGTACATGCAATGCGAGGAGGTTGTCCTGGTACAATATGTTTTATTTTTACACTTTTCCTACCCTCTTCTGTAAATATTTCTTTAAATTGCTGATAATAATGGTTAGCCACAGCCCTAGTACCCAATGTAAATCTATAAAATAAATTCAATATTATAATACATTAACAAATAATTTGCGTAAAAATGCAAAAGTAGATGTTTGAATGTATCAATAATAGCAAACATACCGGCATGAAGAGCCATTTTTTTCTCCATCCCGATGATTTTTATCCATATAAAGTTCTCCCAAATATTCTGAAGTAGAGGGCCTTTGTAGGATCGAGAGTTTTATGTAATCCTGACTTTGCGCAGGTTCTAATATATATTCTTCTATCACTTGTGGCGAACAGTCTTTTGTTTCTCGTGGCCACTCGTATGCTTTCGCGTATCTAATCAAATTCCATTATTAATTAGTTTCGCAAACATCTCGCAATTTTTATTAAAAGTCGTAAAAGAAATGTAAGTTATTTATCTACAAATAATGTAAATAAAAATATGAAGGAAAAATATTAAAACCTTAAAACATCTATTGTTGTAGACGGTGGAAACAGAGGAGGATTTGCAAGAGAAGGCGGTGGACAGGCAGTATTTGTCGCTAATCCTCTTCTTTTCGTACGGAATTTCTGCATTAAGTCATATATCGTTTGTCCTTCTGGCTGGGCTAACTGTTCCAATTTTCTTTTTCGATTTACTGTGACCTAATATCAAGATGTGACATATAACAAATAATAAAAGAATATATCGCTTAAATAAAATCTCTTAAACTATTATTATTAAGTCCAAATGCAACAAATAGAAATATTCCTTATATTAAATTCCCTTATTTTTTTCATTACCTTTTTGTATTTATAGTATACATAAGAAACTTCCCACAAAAATATTAATTATCATATAATTTTTTATTACATATTATGTATTTTTGTATATAATATTTTTATATAATATATAAATACGAGCCTTTAATATTTAGTATTTAACAGTCTCTCTCTCTCTCTCTCTCTCTCTCTCTCTCTCTCCCTCTCGGAATTGAATTTTCAATTTCACTATATTTTAATATTATAGAAAAACTAAATAAGTTTCAAATTAAAGTATTTACCTGAGAGAATTTTTTGGCTTGTCGCATGAGTTGATGATCGGTAAGTAATGATTTAGACTGTTTAATTCTTGTACTAGCTAAAGTAGGAATAGGATTCGGATCCAAGCATAAAGGACCTTGAGTAGCTGCCACTAGATGTGATTCCAACATTAACCGCTCTTCGTGGCTCCAATCTCCATCACTTGTAAGTGTCGACACATCTGATAATACGCTCTACATATAAAAAAGATTATTTAAAATTAAAAATAATTTAAATTATATAATCAATTTCAACCAATTAGTCTATTATGTTATTAATAGTTACATTTGATAACGAAATCTTACCTGTGTGGTAGGTTTAAGAAGTACATGATGAACTTCGGCTTTATTGTGAGGAAATGATCTCCGATAATCTCGAACCTCAGCGATTATGCAGCCATCGTAAAATAAATGTGAATAGTTGGATTCTAATTGTTCGGCTAGCGTAGCTGGCAATTGGCCATTATCTATGCATGAAAGTAGCTCACCCTGTTCATAACCCATGAGTTGAGTCTCAGCTAATGAATTTTTATCGTACTGATTCCCCTTATCACTATTGAGAAATAAGACCGTTGCATTAATCCTAAAATTTCATTCTAAAATTATGGAAATATTTTATATTAATAAAAATATCACACATGTGAAATGCATTTCACTTCTCTGGCATGTATTTTAAATATTTTAAATCTAGTAGGATTAATATTTATAAATCTACGTTTAATATTTATAAATTTCTGGCATCAACAGTATATCACAATAATTTTGTGGTATAGACATCCACATAGCAACAAGACACTGAAAGCGGGATTTAAATTAAAAGTTCAACTCAATGATATATTAATTTTTCCGTAAAAACTTTGCAAAATTTTTCTTTCTAAATCTTGTTATCAAAATTATCATTATCAATTAAGTTTACAAAATTAGACATTGCAAACTAGCATTTCAGATATCTTAGAAAAATTAGTATATTAAAACAGATACTTTTTTTACCTATTTCTTACAGCTAATGAGTATCCTTTATTACCAGCATAGAGATTAACAATTAAAGTATTTAAACCTTCTCTTTGCACCAACCGCCCCAAAAGATCACATTCATTCTCAAGATTATTCTGTAACATTTACAACAAAATTACACTTGTTTGTAAACATATATAATATGCTGTATTGCGATATTTTAAGGAAAAAAATCAATAGAAATTTTAATAACTGTTTGAAAAGTGAACATACCAAAACTGAATCTGGGGTTGCATGAGGAACCTTAGAAAGTTCTTCAAAATAGAGTCTGGTGAGTTTGGATTGGATACTATGCCTGGAGTGACTCTGCTCTTTTTTCTGAGAGGATAATGATTTATCCGATGTTAAGCCCAATGGATTCTGACCTTGAGCATTCTTCCAACTTCTGGATACTTGATTAATCATGTCCTGCATAATCAATATATAATCATAAAATGACAGTTTCGCTAAACAAAATTTTTTTTAATAAAATAAATTAATAAATCATTGTGTTTCGATGTTAAGTTCAAAATACTAAGATATTAAGAAACTATAATTTGAAAATATTTTCTAGCATACCTGAGCCTGCCAATAAGCATCTTCCAAAGTACCATTCATTGTAATTTCTGATTACTAGTGCCACTTAATGTCATATCTGATGCGGTAATAATCGTTCATATTCTGAAAAATATCCATTAGACATATTATTTTTTCACAAAAGATATATTTAATATAAAAAAAACATGAAATATATTAACTAGATATGTTAATCATGTATATTCATAAAAGTACATAAGAGTTATTGATTCTCATAATAATTAATTCAAATATGCTATATTAAATATATATACTACTAATAAAGAAGTTTAATTTTTTAACATTTTCTCTCCAAGAAAGTCAAAACAGAAAATCATTTTCTTTCCAAGACAGTAAAACAAGAAAAATAAAATAATCTTAATAATAAACCATCTGTTCCTTTAAATTTTGAATATGAATCATTTACATATTAAAATCATTTATTATTTCATTGAACACAAATCTTTAAAATTATATATAGTTGTAACTAAATTAATTGAAAAAGAAATAATCTATATAAATAAATTAATAATTACAATTAATGTGCTAAATAGCAAAAATTCCAAAAAAAACATTTTAAATATTTCAAAGATAAAATCTCTTAATTTTTTCTGAAGTCAAAAAAGATATAGACATTACAAAAACAAGTTTCGTAAATATATTAAGATAAGATAAGTAAGTAGAAAATACATAGAGATACATACAGAGAAATATAAAAAATACATACATAGAGAAATATAAAACTGTTTAGTATATGTAAAATGAAAATATAGATGTTTTATTTATCATTAAAAGTACATTGTTTATTTTATCTATTATAATTGTCATATTTTATCTCTTTTATTTTCTTTTTCTCACAATATCTGTTATCAATCTTCATATATCAATGTATATCCTTATTACATGAATTGAACTTTTTACAAATATGCTCCAAGTTTTTAAGCATGCATATGTATGTTGCAATACAAATTTCTTTTACAACATCATTAAACTAACTAACTAACCAACTTAAATTAACAGATTGTATTTATAGCGCGTTTAAAAGCGTGTAAATGTATAACATATTAAAGCAGCAGCAAGAGATGAACCTGAACTATATGTCAACTCACTATCGTAGAACTATTGACTAAAACTATATATTTATAAATCAGATGAGCTTATCATCAAGATATATTTTATTTAAAAACTTCTAAAAGAAACATATATGGAACGTTGTATTCATGAATCTCTCAGCATTCATAAATCATGAGAAACAGATTTACCTCTAAGAGACAGGCGAGTAATACAAATTACCGTGATTCACATGACTCCATATTAAACGTACAATCTAATTGCTATTGTGATGATTGTGAAACCTATACACACTTGCAGAATCTCATGTCATGCACGTGTATACTCCATAAGGCCTATCTCATCCACGACGAACTCAAGAAACGAAATAGTTTCAACAGGAGGAAGGAGAGGGGAGAGGGGAAGAAATGAGACCGTAAACAAACCGAGATCGTTGTCACAGGCGGTCTACGCGATTCACGGGAAATTTGATAAAGAGAGAGGAAGAGGGAGGAGATGAAATCGTCAGTGGAACGAACCGTCGCCACAACGCGTGCTGGATGCTGGTGCACGAGCAACGAGCGAAAAGAGCGAACGGGGAGGAGAGGTTAGGCCAGAAAACTCACTCGGTGGCGGCGACGGCGTCGCGGCGCGGCGTCGAGACACGCGCGCGTGAGAGAGAGAGACACGGCGCCGCGCCGCGTCGCGTCGCGCCGCGCCACAGCAATCGGGCCAGACGACGGTCGCGGTCCCCGCGAATTACCTTCGCTGGATCGAGGGGTGAGCATCGGCTGCGCGCACGTCGACTCCTTCAGGCTCGACTCGCACGTCCTAACCTCACCGCCGCGCTCGCACTCGCGGGGCTCGGTCCGGCGCCTGACGATGGCCTCGGCGTGCGTTGCGTGCTTTTTACGGACGGACGGACGGACCGTCGCGAGTTCCTCGCGCTCGTACCTAGATCTTCGACGCGGCAAGGTCACGACGGTGGGCACGTCGCGCTGGCTCACTGCTCGCTCCGGCGCGACCGATATTTAGCAACAAACGTCATTTCGCGGAGAGCGCAGCGTAACCTGCTACACAAACACCGCATGCACGACCATGAATTGTGGGAGAAACTCCCAGAACCTCCGCTGCGCAGCTGCCGTTGCTGGAGCCCGATTCGCGTTTCGTCCGCAGGTCGCCCCCGCATTGAGTGCGTTTTGTGGATGAATCCAAATAAATTCCGACATCACATCTAGTGGTATTCCGTGCATCATTATGGTGTTGAATTGAAGAACAAAATTATATTACTGATCCAGATTACATTTTCATTAATTTATATCAATATCAATATTATCAATATATATATTTGGAATAAATACGTATCAATTTTTTTTAAGTTTGTATTTAATGTTTGATATATAGAATGATTCTAAATAAATGCGAAAAATTTTAAGATAATTTTTTACCAAAAATATAAATATCTTTTATATAAATATATTCCTTCTTGAAAAGTTATACTTTTCTGAAAGAAAAAATCCGATTATTATTTCTTTCTCAAATTTTAAATAAGTTAAAAATAAAACTTATTAGGGGACATTTTCCATTAATAAAAGAATATTTGTCTTTTTAATTCTCCCATATTGTTGTAGGGATATCAAATTAACAACTCCTATTTAATTTATTTTTACTTAAATTATTGATTTTATGAAAAAAATATAAATACATATATTTACTAATTAAAATAATATAATTAAAAATGTATTAAAATAATAAAAATATTTTAATTAAAAAAATAATTTAAAACACGAATAATTACCAAGTTTTAATAAAAAAGAGAATACCTCGTATTTAATATTACAATATTCTTGAAGTTTCTTTCCAATTATTTCGAAACGGTAGACCAATCAAGGCTTTCTAAATTCTCATTTGAGGATATCATATCACTAGTTAGTGAATCATCCAGTGTCTGATCTGATAAATCACTAGTTCGTGCCTTTGACGGCTAACCATCAATTGGCTCCGCGTTCAAAACACAGTCGGTTTTCTCTCATTAAAAAAAAAGTCATTCGATATTTCAATAAATTGCCAAGTGATCGGTCACGTGATTATATCCGCAAGAAATTTCGCGGTTGCCTGACAAATTCGCGATAGCGCGACTCGGATGATCGATACGTGTTCAATCGTCTTCACAGCGTGACTCAACGTCGCTCGATTTCCACTCGCAATTATTCCTCCAATTGTTTGTAGTCACCACAGATTTTTTTGCCACGAGATTCGAGATTATGATCTCTCTCCAGTCTCACAATCAGGTTTGCATTCTCGACGTACAATTGCATCATGTTTCTGACAACATGCTTCGCGTGTCTTTCGTATATACATATGATCTATTGTCCTTGAACAAGTATAAGAACATTTTATCTTTTGCTGAATATGTATATAAACACATGCATATTTATACACTTAATCACTTCTTGTATGCGCAGTACAAAATTGCCACCGTTGAGGACGCAGATAGGTGTGCTGACAAATACGATACACTGCCAGATTTATTCCGCAATACATTAGATTTTATATGTCTACAAGAGATAAAAAGAGCTGCAATTTTTAAGTTTTCCAATACAGATTTTAAAATCAATAATTTACTCAACAATTTTATATACAAAGCTTTTGATTCAGTTGTTTATGTACATAAGCAGTTACAGCTAAAATTTTTTGTATTTTTTCCTCTTGCTTGAACTTAAGATGCAAGTGTGAGCATTCTGATTAGATAATTTGGATATTCAACTTTTAGGTCTTATACCATCTGACGCAACTAGCATTGACAGCGACTCCTAGAACAACTTCGTATTCAGTCCAAGTTAAAAAACAGGATGAATCTTCACAAAAGAATTCAGAAGAGACGACGATTTGTCCTGATAGTCTTGAGGAGGTATTTCTATTTTTTCTTAAATATAGTTAAATTGTATATGAAAAAATTAAATTATAAAGATATATAAGAAATATATACATAAGATACATAAGATACATATAAGAAATATTTAAGAAAATGAAGATTGAATACTTTAAAATTATAATTTTACATTTGTCTCGAACATATGTCATTGTGACTAAGAAAAAGTATTTTTGATTTGTTTCAGGCAACGAGAAATTGTACCGAATTACCAGAAATAAATCTAAGTACTTCAAATGTATTAAGAATGAAAGACAATAAGATTTGCTTAATGCTGGATAATGTAGCAATCGGTATATTTAGAAGACCTTTGGAAGAGAATAAATGGAGAGTGTCTTACTTATCCGGTCTAAGTTTTGCCGAAAACAGACGAGACTTCCCATGTTCGTCATTCACAGAACCCATTATTCTACCTGTTATTCACTTAGTGTCAAACCAGCAATACAAATTATTACACACATGGTATGGCAAAAAGCTACATAATTATATGCCGATTCGTACATTCAAGTCTCAACGTCATGTAAAAAAGGAATTGGAGCAAAATCCATCGTTCATGAACAGACTAAAAAACTGGCTTGGTTTATCTTCTAATCTACAAGTGGTATTGATATTGAAATTTGCATTTTATTCAAACGATTTAACAATGCCAGATAATGATTTGGCTTATTAAAATATAATTGAGCGAAAATATGTTTATTTGAAGAATGTATGAACTATTTTGATTTATTTCATATTATTATTAGCAGGGTTTAGTACATGATCTGAAGAGTTCGGACTATGAGAAATTGAAACAGATCTTCAACAATACTGATGCGACAGCCGACGAACAGAAGAGAATAAAAATTGCTTTTGTAGAGGGATATGAATCTGGATTACAACGTCAGCGAAATCGAACAATGTGGCCAAAAATCATACAGAATATGTTAGCTGTCTTTGCAATTGTTCTTCTAATTGGACTTTATCGTATGTATATAAAAATTGATGTTATTTTTATTGAAAATTATGATGTTAACTATATTACTTATATTATGCAGTCAGCTATCCAGGAGGAGGAATATTCAAACTTCCTATGAGTCACCGGATTGAGATCGATCCAGAAGATATTCATGTCACTTTTAATGATGTCAAAGGGGTAAGCAATAGACGCCTTCCAAAATGTCTGTAATTATTGTTAAATTTGATCCAAATATAATTTGACTAGTTTACATAAATATGTATTTTAAATATAAAAATTATAGGTAGACGAGGCAAAACAAGAGCTTTTGAATGTAGTAGAATTTTTGAAGAATCCTGATAAATTTTCTGCTCTCGGCGGAAAGTTGCCGAAAGGAGTATTATTAGTTGGTCCACCAGGAACAGGAAAGACATTATTAGCGCGTGCAGTTGCTGGAGAAGCCGGTGTACCATTCTTTCATGTAGCAGGTCCTGAATTTGATGAGATCCTTGTTGGTCAAGGTGCTCGACGTGTCAGAGATTTGTTTAGTGAGTAAAATCCAACGGATGAAAAGACGAATCTTATAAAAGAAATGGTAGTAGTAATGAATAAATCGCTAAAATTATAGGAAGATATGTCAATACTTTATGTGACTTTATGTAGGAGCGGCGAAAGAAAAGGCGCCGTGTGTAGTGTTCATTGATGAAATCGATTCTGTGGGTGCACAAAGGACGAACTCTGTTCTTCATCCTTATGCGAATCAGACAATTAATCAATTACTTTCTGAAATGGATGGGTGAGTTCATGAATGATTTAATATGATTTAATACATAGTTGTATTATAGTATTTTAGGTTTGTCGTTATATATATTAAAAAAAATGTTTTTTTTATTAAACAAATTTTTAACTTTTTAAAGCAAAATTTTTATTGAAACTATCTCGTTTTATTCAAAATGTTTCTAATTTTTTAAGCTTTCGTCAGAATGAAGGTGTCATAGTTCTTGGTGCCACGAATAGACGCAAAGATCTTGACAAAGCGTTAATGCGTCCTGGTCGTTTTGATGTCGAGATTTACGTTAATAAACCTGATTATTTTGGCCGTAAGGAGATATTAGATCTTTATTTATCTAGAATATTGACGCATGAAGTTGATACAGTTTATTTGGCACGCTGTACTAGGGGATTCACTGGAGCTGACCTAGAAAGTATGGTAAGACAGATTTTCATAATAATACACAGCTTTTCTGATATCGTATTATTTTTTATTTACATATTGCTTGATTAATAATGAGGAGAATATGCGTATAACGAAATACATTTTTTATTATAATAGGTGAATCAAGCTGCATTACGTGCAGCAATTGACGAAGCAGATTGCGTAACTATGAAGCATTTGGAATATGCTAGGGATAAGATATTAATGGGTCCAGAAGGCAAGCTAAAGTTACGTAACGAAGAAGATAATCGTATTATAGCCTATCATGAAGCAGGGCATGCCTTAGTAGCATTTTACACTAAAGATGCTACGCCGCTTCATAAGGTTACCATTGTGCCACGAGGACCAATGTTAGGCCATGTATGTAGTTAATTTATTTATTAATTTAAAAATGAATAATTCTGATTAAATAATTTTTTAAATTATTTTGTATCTCAAAAATTTTTTGAAATGTAATTTTTATATATCACAGTTGACATGATTATTTATAACTTTATTTAAATTATTTATAATTTTATGTAAATTAAGTTAGTAGATATTTGTATAAACTGTGTTCGATTTTTTAATTTTAAAAATTATATATTGCAAATTATATATTAAAATTTAAAAAGTTATAAATTATATTGCTTGTTTTAGACTTCTTATATGCATGAAAAGGATGTTCATCATGTCACAAAGTCACAATTGTTAGCTAATATGGATTCCATGATGGGGGGTAGAGCTGCTGAGGAGTTAATATTTGGTCCAGAAAAAGTAACGATAGGAGCTGCTTCTGATTTAGAGGTATGATTATATTTTTGATTTTCAATTTTATGATTTTAAATTTTTGTCATTCATAATTTGCTAAATTATGAATGAAAAAACTTACGTTTCTAAAATGAAAAAATATTTTTATATTTAACAGATTTGATTTATTAATTTTTATATGTTATTGCACGTACAAGATTTTATTTATCCAAGAAATATTAATGATATAAATTGAATTAAATATAGAGATATGTTAAATATACGTATATACCTGTATTTCTTTTTTCTTTTTGTAGAAGGCAACAAAGATAGCAGAGAAGATGGTGAAGATTTACGGAATGTCGGAAAAAGCGGGATTCAGGTCAATAGTAGAGAATAAGAAGCTTTTCGATAACAGCAACACGTACGCGCCAAGCACGAACGAACTCATCGACAATGAAGTAAAGCGGCTTTTACAGGTAAATATAACGTGAATTCTTGAATTAAAAATGTGAATCGATTTATGAGAAAACATTTTTTTCTTTTATAATACAAATTCCTCAATCATTTAAAATAGTATTATTCATTATGAGAAAATTATCAATATTTTTCCATTTTTTTTGATTACTAACTAAATCGTCTTCTTCATGTTTCTCTTATAGGAATCGTATGAACGCGCAAAAGGAATTTTAAAAATGCATGTCAAAGAACACAAACAGTTAGCAGAAGCATTATTGCAATATGAAACATTGGATGCAGATGATGTGGCTGCCATAGTAAATGGTAGATATAAATAGATTATATTATTAAATAAGGATAATGTATATAATATAATAGTATGATTTTTTATTTTAATAATGTATATGTATATACATACATGTGACAAAATATAAAGGACATAAAATCATATCTATACGAAAAATGAGTTAAGAAAATTTTTTACAAATTTTAGCATAATTTTACCAAGATATTAGTATATCAGTTTATATTGAAAATTACATTTTATTTGATATTATTATTTCAGAAACAGGATTTAGTAAACGAGAATCATCTGCAGATTCAAAGAGGCCGACGAAATGATTTTAATCTAAGTGATTACTTGAAAACAAGAAGGTAGGAATGAAATATAATTATGTAAAATTTTAAACGTTGTAAACATTGGATAATCATTTTTATATATACTTATTCTTCTGGACTTTAGTTCGTAAGTTTAAAATATATTCGAAATGATAAATCGCGAATCATATCTTTTTATTTTATCTCAAACATAATTTTTTAACATTTAATAGAAATATATACAAATTGTTATTCTATTATTCAGATCTTTAAAAATAGATTGTTGCTGTCGTATAATGTCCGATCGCTTAGAAATGGATACTTCTTTGTAAAATATTTATGAAAATTATGCATGTTTAAACGATCAAAAATATATCGTTTCTTATTAATTCCTTCCATTAAAATTTTAAAATTTTATAAAATAAAATCTAAAATACGATTATATGTTTATATTTTAACATTTTTAAATTGACGGATATTTTTTATAATAATATTTTTTGATAATGTCTATTATCATTTAAATTTAAACTTTGGCCAATTATTAAATATTGTAAATAAAGACTAACGATTTATTTAAAAGTTTAAATAGATTCTGTACTAATTGCAATTTTTAAGTGAATAACGGAAGCAACTCAAAAAAATTTATTTTATCATGAGTCGCGTTTTTTTCGGAAATTTATTTTGTTCTTTTTACAGTTTCTTCCTGGGTCTGCGTTCGTTTAATAAAAATTTGAGCGATCCACTATTTTCTTCAAAAATGGAAATTAACGAGGTTATCAGCAGGGAATTAATTATCGGTGATTTCGTTTTCTTTTTATGTTCGGGATCTGCAATCGAAGATTCGCAAAGTGCCCAACGAGTATGAAAATATATTGGAAATATGATAAACTTTGATTTATAATATACTGGACATAGATATAAATTGTATTGAATTATGTATGTACATATACATATTTATATACATATATCCCAAGACTTATATATGTTATTTTGTCCCTTTTATATCCTTCGATACTCAATAATTACGATACTTATTTTTTCATGCAATATTTTTTCTTTTTATGGGTAATTGGAATAATATTTCAAAATAGTAGAATATGCATAACGCGACCGAAAAAAAGATATTCAGATAAAACTTTTAAATCGTATTTTGCTTAATGCAGCACGAATGATATAATCTGGACTCTCAAACTTCGAAATTCTTCTTTTCTACATCCGATCGTACGCCGATAAACATGCACGTATGACATATAATTTTTGGTTAAATATCCTATTGCAAAGTGATGATTTTTAATGAAGTGATTTCCGTAATATATATTTCGCTTTGTTTATATTTATTTTACAAACGCGGAGTAATCGTGCAGGGATAGGAAGAGGAGGGGTGCGAAATGGAGTGCCAAACGATCATTGCAGTACTTCAATTAAGGTAACGTAATGGTTACGATATGTTTGTGTGTTTGCTCACGATGTTTGGATTTACTCACGGTACGGAAGCGCATATGTTGCTACATTTACGTCATATCACGACTCGTTGCATTTTTCTATGCATTCTAACGTATATCGACAGTATCCTGCGAGCGATCACAAATTGGAGTGACAAATGATTGTATTTAACCGAGTTTTTCTCGATTATGTTCATACAGGATGAGGTGACAAGATCGATGGAAAAGCAACTTGAATGCGATCAATATGCCATATTGATTTTGCATAGTAAATTACATGCAATAACGTATCGAACTTTGTCATATTGAATAATAAAGAAAGTTGCTGACATTTCGGAATAATGTACATATCATTGTATTTTTGACCTATCTGTG